AACAGAAGAAAAACAAGTTTGGAGTCATATATACTGTGTTAGTTATATACTGAAGAGGTGGAGATGATGGCTAAAGGCTTTTCACAGTTTTTGTTGGCATTGCTGTTTGTTTTCTCTGGTGAAATACGGATATTGGAGTCATTGCTCACAGACAAGGCAAGAGAGGAATGAGACGATACGGAGGAAGCCTCGGGTTACATTTTGAAAACAATACCAGACCTGACTGAGATACCACCTCTAAAGCTCCATAGTAGAGAACTTTCTTACACATAGTCACACACATAACATCAGCTTGTTGGGTCTTGCCCAGACATTGGTATGCAGGAGTGAGGGCAGAGGAAATCAGTAACAAGGGTGAAGGAAAAAAAAAAGCTAAGAGGTTTCTGGATGTAGATGTGTTGTTTCCCACACATTCTTCATGGCTGTGAGTTTACTTGAAGCCAAAACAATTAATTGTTAGAGTCTCACCAACAAAGAGCTTTGAACCTGAATTCACTGATGTTTGGCCACATGGTGGCAGTGCAGAGAATTGTAAACACAACCTTGAAAAAAAACAAAACTCTAAAAAGCTTCAAAAATCTGTGGAAAAATAAATAAATTATTAGCTTTTCTTTTAGCTATAGCTTGTTTTGTTTTTTTCTTTGGATCAGCTCTGTTTTCACTAAAATGTCAGGAAATTCAAATGCAAGACAAATAAAGGATCAGTTTAATGCTGATTACCAAATTCCTGGCTTGTTATATAGCAGCTGGTAGAACTGAACACTTCTCAGACAATTCACAAGCTTTGGAAGAATTTTACAGTTGAGAGGAATCCTCTCTGAGGTGAAATGTCACCCAGGGCCTGAGATTGACAGTTTACCTTTCTGCTCTGCAAACCCTTCAAAAATGATGAAATACAGCCAATAAAACAATTACATGTGGATACAGTGTTTTGATAAAGAAAACAATTTGTAAGAGCAATAACCCTCAACTCTACCATTGCTAGAGCACTTGAGAGCTACAACAGCATCTGACCCACAAAGAAGTCCCTCAAAGGAGGATCAAGGTCTCCATCATGGGCTTCACACGGGAGCATATTCGTTACTGACTTAACTTCATTGGGTTTTCTTTGAAGTGTCTTCACTTCGCTTTGCTCAGCATCAACACAACAGACTATTTCAAGTTCCTCATGACAGAAATCTACATGAACTGAAGTGCATTCACATCCCTGATGATACGTTTCAGAAACCTAGCCCCTCCCACGCACCGTCTGACAGGCACCATCTGACTAAAATATGTGGCCTTTTTTTTTTAATAAGAAAATGACTGTTATTTCCATTGAGACTGAATTAAGTCAGAGTTTAGGGTTACACTGAGGTGACGGGTGCCAGTACAATGTATTCCTGCAAGGCGAGCGAATCTTTTCGATGCCACGTGATGTTTTTCTGCGTTCCTGAGGTCACCTGATGGGCCGGGCTCAATGCAGGGCTGTGTGGCCAAATGATATTCATGGAAGAGTAATTCTGGTCTGATTAAAAGCATCACTTCGCCTATTCAAATGTTTTGTGTCAACAGCCTCTTTAACCCACCTGGGCGTAGACAGAAAGCGGCCTGTAGTAGCTATTACAGAAAGGAACTGCACTAACAAAAACCTTTTCCACCAAATACATTTAATTCTGATAATTCTGTGTTTTTTTTTTATCATATCATTTAACTCAGTCACGGAGATCTTATTTAGATTTGCAATCATGCAAATAATTAATTAATTAAATAAATATGGGTTCTTTACAAAAATCCTCATTGGCTGATGAGTAGTCAGTGCTGTGTTCACAGCTTGTTTCTGCTGCCTCCAAATGGCCAAGAAAACAAACAAACAGTAATTGCAGGTTTGAAAGGAGCTATTTGTAAATTTTGCTATTGCTATGTAGCTAGCTTTAGCATAACAGCTGTTTATTTACCAGAGGAAACGTGGGTTGAGCAGCAAACTTAGTTCCTTTACTCGCCAAGATCTGTCTCCAGTGTTGGAAATCAACACCATGTTAACTCTTGTCTCTCTCTCCATATATCTCTCTCTCTATGTCTCTTCTACTGAATTTAGCATGCTAACCAGCTAGCCCCGCCCCATCTTGTTACTTTCCGATAGCGACTCACTGTACCCTTCAATCTGTCCTGAAGACGTGCTGCTCAGAGGGCGTATTACAACCTCTTCTTTTAAATGCAACAATAACTGAAGCTCTTGTCGAGCGACAATCACCACCAGCCGCTATCGGCACGAAGCCACGTTCAGCGGCAGAGAAAACCTACAAACAGCCCCTTTGAATATATCCAGCCTGTTGTAAAAAGTTGTGCAAACATTTGTCATTGTTTGTCTTTGGTGATCATTTTCAGGTTGATTTTGTGTAAGCCTTTCTCTCTCAAAGTTGCTGATGAAGCAGAAGCAGTGTGTGGGCCTCAGCTCATTGAACACTGATGTCTATGGGTGACTTGCCAGTGGAAATTTGGAAAGCAGTTGTGAGAGATTTGGTTCGTTAAGAAGCGAAGGGAAAGCTCAAATTCCTTCTGTCTCAGCTTCGTTCCGTTGGCACACAGGTATCCAGACAACAGGGTCTGTCTCCTCTCTGAGCCAGAGCTGGTAATTGGAGTATTTTTCCTGACATCAGACAGTCTGAGCCCCCCAACTGCCAAATTTATGACAAAGTTCCTGCTGTTAAATTATTACATTTCTTATGCTGCCACCAGTCAAAACCCCATCTCTCCTTTGGGTTCTTTTACTCCTGTCATATAAGCTTTAACTCAATGCCTCTGTTCATGTTATTGTGTTATTGTTCTGCCGACCTCTTTTAGGGAGTTTCGGGAGGATTTCATGGTATCGGTCTGTTTTTCTTTCTTTCTGTTCTGGTCTCAATATCCTGAGTTTTTCTTGCAACTTGCTTGTGATAAAGAGCTGTATGAATAAATCAAATGACCCTGAACATGAACTCAAGTAGACTTACATGCAGATACAGACGGTTGCAGTTCTCAACCTTTACAGCTTAACACCACCACAAACTAAGCAAAGTCATCTCATAGCCCCTTGTCAAAGGTCACATGTTTCTAAAGAATGTGTTTGACCTCTTCAGAGGAGTTCATTTGAATATTTACTTGAGGACTGGAGAAGTGAAACTACCCAGTATTTCACAAGAAAAGAGCATACATGAGAAGCCTGCTCTTTTTTTTCTTTACTAACGTGTTACTAGTCTTCAGACCACCACCCGCAACCACCTACCCCACTCTCCTAACATCTCTTTAGCATAGCATTTGCATAGTTTGACCATTTGTTTCCACTGAACAGGAGAGATCATCATCCTGACGAGTTAACATTAGATAATACAGATACAAAATACAGGTAGTGGGTGATTTTGATTTAAGTCTAAAAATTGAAATCAATACATTGCAACTTTCAACACAGACTTTGATATAAACCTGGTATCATACAGTGACATTCAGAGTTTTTACTGATTTCTTTGTACTGACAATTTCCTTCTGTTTATGTCCAGCCTCAAAAAATACAATACAAAACAAAACACAGAACATCTGGACGACAATGTTTGACCCACTTGTTTTTCTTTGCACTTGTTCATTTCGGTCAAAGCACTTGACCCGGCAGCGTAATGTGCTGCAGGGACACAAAACTTCATGTGCCGAAGATAGAAAAGCCACAACCACATAATTACAGAGCACTATGGGTGTTTCCAAACTAGCTTACCATAATATCCTTTTTCTCTTTTTTTCCTAAGCTGTAAGATTTCTCCACAGAACAGTTGGGTGTCAAAGCCGTCCCTCAGTGACACCTCAGACGAGCAGAAGTTGATCGAGCTTCGGTTGTTCATCTGACATTTGATCTTAATTGTTGTAGTGAAACTATCCCGTAGCAAGTTACAGAATATAGGTTACAATACTGGTTTTACTGAGCAGCATGGGGGTTAACAGGTAAAGAGACATTCTACAGCCAGAAGGCCCAGATTTAAGTCTCTGTGACTGTGAGCACTGACCTTGTTTTAAGATTCTGACATGCTGACATCTGACCTTTTGTATGGAGGAGAAAGACCAGATTTGGGTTTTTCCTTTAAGAGCCAATAAAAAGTATTAGAGAAAAAGAGAAAACATCAAAACTTTACTTCAGGTCTCATTATTCAGTATTTTAATGCAGTTTACACATTGTTGGTGGTTTACTTGGTTTATAATGCACAACAACGTAGATGTAAGCAGATTTAAGTGTTTATTAATGAATTTGTCAACAACAGTACTCAGACATTTTATTAAATATGTCTGAGAAATATTCAAATAGTGCTTATAAATGCTAAATGGGGGGACTTGAAGCAAAGTGTTACCACTAAAAGCAGACGGTACAATGTATGCATACCAAACAATTAATGTTTTTAGATTGTAACTGTAGATATTAGAAGCCATATCTGTTGTGCTTGTTCTTCAATGAATCTAATAAATACACAAATAATGATGCAGTTAAGCAGTTTTTAAATGACAGTGTTGGGGATCATGTCAGGTTTTTCACTTAGTCGGTCACTGCAACCTGTATGGATTTTACCTCTCACACAGGTCAGCTCTCGTTTTACTATAGTAGAGGTAGTACAGGTGAGACATTATACTCACCACAAAGCCATGAACAATTATCAAAAAAAGAAAAGAAAAAGAAAAATCAGATTTGCAGCACAAAATGCAACTAAGTCATTCACAAAAAAACCATACAAACAGATCATTTATCACTGAGTTTATTTGGAAGATTTATTACAATCATTGCTTTGGTGCAGCAACGGGGTTTTGATTGTAAGACGCCGACAACACAAACACACTGTATGGAAATAATACAAATCAGAGGTGTAACACAGACATTATCTATCAAGTAAATATGGGGCAAGTTTTGGTCACATAGTAATAAAATGATCAAATAAATGTACTAAACTTATAAAGATAACACAAACAAAAGAGAAATACAAATTACAGAGGTGCATAACAACAACAACAACAACAACAACAACAACAACAACAACAACAACAACAACAAAACATGCAAAACAATCAGAACAAGTCAGTGTGTATCAGGTGTAAAGAATATTTCTGCAGTGTCTCCCTGGCATATTTTTGTTCTCACAACATAGTGTCATGGTCAGATTATACAAATTTAGATTCTCTTAAAATACCTCAAACTCCCAAAATGTACTATTTCCCCAAATCCAACTAAGTTTTTCTTCCTTTATAAAAGTAAATCCTCTATAAAAGTATAAGGTAAATGAAGTTTCCAGTTTGTGCTGGACCAAGACATAAGTAAAGATGTGACACAAGAAGAGATATGCAAGGCATCTGCATGCAAACAAAGTGTTGCCCTCACTTCGCTGCGGCATGTTCATGGCAGCGTGTGTAAATAAAGTTTCATGGGTGCCAGTCCAGAACAGCAAATGTTGTTCGAGGCCTTGTCTCCTCTGCTTTTCTTGAGCTTTGTTCGTGCTGTACAGCAGCCAGTAACAAGGTTTTATTATTTTTGTCAGTACAAAACGTGGAATCAAAAAGAAAGCTTGAAGGCCTCTGTTACAGTCTCTGTGAACGTCTGGAGCCATTTTCTCTCTGGTTTAGGTTTATACGTCTTCAACAGGGTGAGGTCACTGCTTATCACTACCAGCAAAACATAATCTCTGTATGACAGCTGGATAAATCAACAAATTTCCCAGCACATCCTGTAACAAAAAATACAGCCCTAGAGCTTATGACAGAGTTCCTCAGAAACTGTCCACTTAGATGTTGTTTAATTTCAAAATCCACCACTTTCATAACAAAAAGAGACACTAGAATATGAGACAGGCTAAACCAAGAGGTGTCTGTGTTGTGAAACAAGCAAAGCACAGCTGCGTGAGATCAGAAAGGTCAATACTCTAGTTTATGTTTCTGGGGGTTGAACCTCATGTAAGAAACTAACAGTAAACGTTCTTAGAAAAAGAGATGAGATTTATAATTTGCTTATAAAAGACAGAGATGTAATTAAGGCATATACTGGGTAATATTTTACCGCTATGGTCAAGCAGCAGGCAGCAATAGACTCTTGAGATTATCTGTGCAAACATGAAGTATCCAAATAGAGACTTGAGTGACTTTTGAGAGGTTTTTTTTGAACATCTAAAACTTTCAAGCGGAGTGAACACAGACAAAGATGTTTTTGTGCTCGTCCCAGTAGTGGAGCTCGTCGGTGAAGCTCCAGGAGCAGGCCAGGTCTTTGCTGGTTTTGACCGTGTGGACCACGCAGGCGCCGGGCAGCTTCTCAAACAGGAACTCTGCTACACCCACCACCGTGACCTTCTTCTGACTCTGGATCAGCTGCTGGATTTGACTCCTATCCACGGGCTCAGCCGAGGAGCTGTAGGACACCCAGACGTTAAGTTTCTCATCCGATGAAGGGACCTGGAAGCGACTCTTCCCCGTTGAGCAGTGGTAATCCTTCTTGTTGGCGAACAGGCCTGACGGGGACCTGAATATACGCACGGACCAGCCCACCCAGTCATACTTCTTCTTTAGTTTCTCTATAATAGCATCAGCTAACTGCTGGCTGGTTAGGTTTGACTGGTCTCTCACCAGTCGACGGGAATCCAGCTCGGCCTGCTTGGGGAAGCTGACGATGCAGTCTTCAATCACAACGTTCATTTTTTCCTGGACACCCTTCATCTTCTCACCCCAGTCTTTCAGAAGCGTGTCCTCCTCGTCGTATCCCTTGAGGGCGGCGTGGCCCAACAGTGCGATGAGTCCGATGCAGAAAAGCTTCTTCAGCCTGGCGCAGAAGTCCTCCATCGGCCGGCGACTTTTCTCCTCGTAGTTCAGTGTGATCTCCAGCACAGATTCCCCGGAGAAAATGTCTCCCGTCACAGCGTTGTAGAGGGTGTTAAGGTTTTTGTCACCACCTGTCTTGGCAAAATGCTCCAGGAAAAGCTTCTTCTTGACTTCCCTGAACTTGGGTTTGGCGTTAAGGATGTCCATGTACTTCCTGAACTGGTTAGTGATGTTCTCCTCCACTGAGAAATACGCAGCATCCGCTCCACTCTTCTTTATCTCATCGTTGATCCGCTGAATCTCCTCTGACATCACCTCCAGACGCTCTCGTACCTTCTGAAACTGCTCCTTCATGAATTCGGCCTCTTTGCTCTCCACGTTGTCCAGAGCCAGTTTAACAATGGGAGCAGCGATGGAGAAAACAGGGAAGAGGTCACCAGCGATACTGGCCACTACCTCAGCTCCCTGTTCAAACACTTCCATCACAGTCTCCACCATATCCTTCTTCTCTGCCACGAGCTTCTGCAGCTGGTTTTCCATGTTTGCTGAGACTGATTCTAATAAGAAAAATAATTGACATGTTTAGAAACAGTCAACATTCATCCTGCTGTGATCTTCATCACAATTTGAGCTAAAAAACAGAACAAAAATGAGGCACTTCAGTTTCACTTCAGCGACAGAAACCAAATGCAGTGTTTCGTAGATTTACTCACACTTCTGCTGCAGTGTTGTTGGACTGTGGCCTGCTCTCTTGCTCCTCTTACCACGCAGCAAAAACTGATAAGGAAAGAGAGAAACAGCCAAGTGAGCTTCAGTGCTGGCTGCGGGTCACACCCAGAAAGCAATGAGTCAACAATGCAAATGGAATTCAGCAGTGACGACAGACCAGTGTGGGTTGGCATGTTTGTATGTTACCTATGTGAAATACACAGTTCAAATAACTAATAAACCTCCCTTTAAATATGAATATCAAGGTACACTGACATTTTGGATTTAGTAGCTATTGTCTCAAACAAACGATGCACCATTTCTCATAGTACACTATAACTTGCTAGAATATCAAGACAACATGGAGGAGGCTCCAAACCACACCTAGCTCATTATACAGGGAAATAATATACAGCTAAAGATTATATTATATTATATATCATATTATGTAGTCTGTGCTATTCTCAAGGTCAATAGGAAAACTTTTATGCCCAATACCACTCTCATATCTATCCCTTAAATATGAATATCAAGCTACAGCCAGCAGCCAGTTAGCTTAGCATACTGAAAACATGGAAAAACAGATAGCCTGGCTCTATCCAATGGTAGCAAAATCTGCCTACCAGCCCCTCTAACATTCACTAAAACACAATATATCTTGCTTGTGATTTTACAGCGAGTTGAGTGCTTGGCCGTTTCCAGGACACACTTCCCAGACTGTCTGGTTCTTTAAACAAATAAGATAAAGTGAGCTTCTCTGGTTTATCTCGGGACAGAGTCAGCGTAGCTCTTTCTCCCTGTTTCCAGCCTTTAAGCTAAGCTAAGCTAACAAGCTGCAGGCTGGAGCTTCATATATAACAGACAGACATAACAGTGGTATTGCCCTTTTCAGCTAACTCTCAGACAGGAAATGCATGTCTAACTATTCCTTTACACAAATGAGATGTCCTTAAAGTGCTGTGGGTGAAGTCATAACAGCTACTGAGCACAACATGTCAAATTAACAAATCCATTTCCATGACAAGTGAGCAAACGCCATCTGCTGATGAAGACAGATTGAAAGTGAAGACCTTGAGTTGGGATTGTTAATATAAAACATTATTGTCTGTAAATGCATCTGTTTCATTTTCACATGGAAAGTCAATTATTTCTGTAAAGTGTAGTTACACTGCACACAAAAAGTTAAAGCATGTATTTAATGATGCTGGGAAATGACTTCCTGTCTTGCACTTCTTAACCTTAAAAACAAGAAGTCCACTTGGACTTGGAAAATCTTAATCTAATACAAACAACTCCTCCCAAAGGCCAGGAACAGAGAAATAGCTGAGAGTAGGAGCAGATGATTTCATGGGCATGTTCAGACATGTCCTGATGCAAAACTGGAAATGTGTAATTTTGGGTGGAAATCACATTTTGATCCAAAGTGAAGGTGCAAATATTCACTGACTTCACAAACTCAGTCCCACACTCATAGTTTAACGTTTCCCTTGGTAACGAACCTGTCGTCACATGTTTTAATTAGAGTTTCTGGCCTTCATGTTCACTTTTTAAACTGGGTCTGGAGGAGAAGCAGCAGTGATCTCTCTCCCTCAGCCAGCCTAGTCAATATTGAGGCAGCAGGCGTGGGAAGTGATTAAGTGAAAGAGGTTAAACTTGCTGGGCAAGGGTGCGTTTTCCAGTAGAACTCAGCAAGTTACCACGGCAACAAGACAATGGAAAATAATCTGTCAGCTTGTTCGTCTGTCTCTGCTGAGGTCTGCTCTGTCCCTGCAGGGGGGGTTTACAGTATCTAGCCAGACTACGGAAGATTGCAGTGAGAATATATAGCACCCATTTCTGAGTCTGATGCATTGCACACCTCTGCAGGCGTCCACAGACACGATGAATCTCTAGACTGTGATTAAATTCCAACATGGATATACAGACCAGACCAAACATGTATACTGTATTATGTCTCAAAATTAAAGGAATAGTTTGACATTTTGGGAAATGTGCTTCTACACTTTCTACACTTACATACATATCACTCTTATGCCTGTGCAGTGAATACACACTACAGCCAGTGGCCAGTTAGCTTAGCAGTTAGCCTAGCTTTGTCCAAAGGTAACAAAACCTGCCGACAATCCTTCTAAAGCTCAGTATTTAACATATTTTATCTAGTTTTTTTAATCTGTGCAAAAACCAAAGAGTAAAAACAATCATTGCTTGACTGGGGACATATTTTCCAGTTTTGTCCTGATTAAACAAACAAGATCTAACATGTTAAACAGTGAGCTTTAGAGGTGCTGGTAGGTGGACGCTTTTATCTTTGCCAAGCTAACAGTTTCCCCCTGTTTCCAGTCTTTATGCTAAACTAAGCTAATCAGCCACTGGCTGTAGCATCATATTTAGTGACTCTCAGCAAAAAAGCAGAGAAAGCATGCTGCCCATAATGTTGAACTATTCCTTTAAATGAGCATTCTTTGAATATCAACCACAAAGGTCTAAAACTGCCATAATTGTGATATAAAATGTGTAATATTTGCATAATTCCCCAGTAATATTTGAGAACAAAAACAATAAAGTAGGCCTACAGGAAATTCCAGCAGGATGTTGGAGCATTTACAGTTACTGGCTCTTATTTGATTTGACCGAGCTAAAACTGTGATTCCTGTTTTCCACTGATCTTCTCACTCCATTTCTCTCTCTCACTGTCCCAGGGGTTGTGTAACTGCAGTCTGAGTGCATGTAAAGCGCCTTTACACAGTCGGTTCAAACATAAAAGTGCTTAAAGAAATCACATTTTTAGAGGCAAACAGTTGCTGAAGCTCACGTAACAGAGGTATGAATATCAGCACAGCAGGTCGGCTTTTCACTCAAAATTCCACTATATTCAGTAATACACAGCGGGCGGAAAGTAACTACATACATTTACCAAAGAACTGTATTTTGAGGCACTTTACAGGAGTATTCTCATTTTATGCAACTTTCAACAGCTTTAGTTAGGTGGCACATTACAGATGGAGATTTTACATTAAAAAATGTATGTTAATCCATGATAAAGATTAAAATAGTGATTCACAACCATTTGGCTTGTGACCCTTTACAATCAAGCAATGTCTTGTTGAGCTCCTTGATCTGAAACATCTTCTAGCTGTTAGCAGTCACACAAAAAACAGATTTCTCCTCTAAACTTCTCTCTTCATTTAAATCATTTCTCAAGGAGATTATCGAGTAGCCCATTTCATCAAAGAAAGGTAAAGATTATAGAAAACTCAAAAAAGTGAAAAAATAAAACTAACAAGAAAATACAAATTGAAGAACACAAAAAAAACTTTTTTCTTTAGCTATGATGAGTAGTTAAAGTGGCTCCACCTCAACCAGCTGCAGTAAACTGCTGCACAGTGATGCATCAATTAACAATAATGGATTATACTGTATAATAATATATCAGTCAGAGCTAGGGCATATTTCAGCAGTACTTTTGCTTTTTATACTTTAAATAGCTTCATTTTGCTGATGCTTGCTTTGTACGTTAGGACTTTACCTTGTTTTGTAGTATTTTAACACTGCGCTTTTGGTGCTTTTACTTAAGAAAATGATCTGAATGCTTCTTCCACCATTGGTTATATACCGGTTTATGAAATGTACTGATTTCAAACATGCTGGAAACACTTTCCATTCTGGCAATTTTATATAGACAACCTCATTTTACAGCCTTTGTGATTATTACCAAAATAAGCTGAGGTAAAACACACAGGTAAACCTTCATACAGCCATCTACTGCACAAAGTTCACGCGCCAGAGCTTCCTCTGAACACACAGATGACCGAGGCCTCCCTCTGGCAGCTGACCACTCAGTCTGGCCACTGAGAGAGAAAAACTAAACGCTCTGTTAATGCGGCCTTTTAATGGAAAACGTATTGATCAGTCCGTGTACCGGGGCTCTAATTGTATCATTTTACAGCCGAAGGACAGAGAGCCAAACAAACATCGCAGGTTAACACCGCAGATTAGTTTTTTTGTGTTGTTGTTACAACGCAACTCAAGTGGATCACGCCTTTAAAAAGTTTGACACTTCCTGGAAGAAGTGCAGCGGCCACCAACGCCCATGAGAAGTAGAAACTTTTGCGCTTTAAACTGCTATTACGTTTCTGCACATTCATCTAATCACCCACTTTACTTTATGAAATGAAGCTGCGTGGGTAAAATATGTGACATCTCTGACATTATTAACAGCAACACGATGCGTCAGGCTGGTAAAACACCCGATTACGTAACGACAGACTGGAATGAAGTGGATGGCGCTGAATCGATCTTTTCCTATTAAAAGTCTCCTGTCACTGCCACGCGCTTAACCTCAATGTTTCTGCCCACTATGAGACGTTTTGATCAGAAACGGACTCACCTTAAAGAGTTTGCGGAAGAAATACACTAACTTCAAGACTGTTTGTCTTCCTATTGGTCATGTGGTTCTCGTGTTACAGGGCAGAGCCACACCCAGCCAGACAGAAGTACAACAAAAAAAAAAGAAGAAGAAGTTGTGGGCATAAGAGGTTGTTGGTGTGGCGATATTATTACAGAGCAACCTCCACCCATTTGATAAACAATGACAGGCTATTAAAGCGTTATTATGCTGCAGAAGATGACTATATTAATTTAAGTTGAAATACAGTCAGCAGAACTTTATGCTTCATGCTTTGTCATGATTTGCAACAGCAGTAATATATTATTTTTTATCTCAAAACGTGCAGTAATGATGACCAACCATGACAAGAAAACATTCGTATTTTTTGTTTATTACAAATCAAAGTAAAATATACATAAGTGTCTCCATAAAGATTGTGGACTAAAGATTTTTTAAGTTTTCCCCGCAGCTCTTTATTGCACCAAAAGCAGCAAAACTATTGGATATTGGATTTTTTTTTTAAATACACATTTTTCTCTATGACTGATGGATGATCTGATACACCCAGAGATATTACAGGGATTAAAGGAAAAGGAGGAGGGTACCTAAAACATATGGCAAATGGTCATATCGCCCAACCCCAGTAATATCCAATGGGAAGAGAATCATCATATGTTTCACACTAAGTCGAAGCTGGCACGGAGATGTATGGCTCTGAAATGTCTACAACACCCTGAAGCTACTGTATCATCAAACAGAGAAAAGATATATATATATATATATATGTATAGGTATGTATAAGAATAAAGATTATTACAAGACAACAAATCACATACCAGAACGCAGACAGAGCAGATTATGCATCAACACAGACAATCTTTATGAATCATTCTCTATATTTCCAGGTCTCTGCTAAAGACATTCATGAATTTATCTGTAGCTTCTTTTATATGCAGCTGCAGTTTGTGTTTGTCTGTGAGCCTATTCAGGGTGGATACACAGGTAGGCTCTCTTGTGTTTTCCATAGTAGTAACAATCCTCATGGAAGTTGTTGGTCTCCACCACCTCCTTGTAAGGGCTGACAGCGTGGACCAGGCAGTTGGGGAAGCTCTTGTTCAAAGACAGAGCCACCTCCATCATGTTTCCCTTCAGCTTCTGTCTCTCGATCTGCTCCTGGATCTGACTCTTGTTAATGGGTTTCGGGTTGACACAGAAAGAGACTACCACTTTGATCTTGTTCTTGGTCAAAATGTCAAACCAGTTGGCTCCCCCACTTCCGTGGTACTTCTTTCCTGCCAGCCAGTTGAAAAAGAAAATGCGCTCCCTGTCGCCGAAGGCCCTGATGGACCAGTTGACCCAGTCGTATTTTTTAACAAGTGAATCCAGAAGGGATTTGGTAAAGTCTCGATCAACAGCTCCGGGGTTCTCCTGAAGCTTGTGCTCCATGTCCATCTTGGCCTGCTCTGCAAAGTTCTCTGTACAGTCGTCTACGGCTGCTTTCATTCGTTTCTCCACATCCTCCATCCGTCCCTGCCACTTCTTCACCATCTCCTCGCCAACTGCTCCTTCCTTGAGGGCAGCGTGGCCCATGACGGCGATAATGCCCACCACAAAAAGCTTCTTCAGCCGGGCACAGAAATCCTCAACTGCCCGTCTGCTTCTCTGCTCTGTGGCGACTACTGTTTCCAGCATAGGGTCTCCTGAGGTGTTCTCCCCAGTGACGGCGTTGTAGAGGGCGTCCAGGTTCAAGTCGCTGTCTGTGTTCTCGTAATGGCTGAGGAACTTCTCCATCTTCTTCTCCCTGAACTTTGGCTTGGCGTTGACAAAGTCCTGGAACTTTTCATACTGGCTGAGCATCTGCGCCTCTCGATCGAAGTTCTGCTTGTTCATGGACGTCCTCTGCAGCTCCAGGGCGATTTTATCGATCTCGTCTTGGATTCCCTCAAGTTTCTGGTTGACAAGTTCGAACTGTTGAGTCAGGTAGCGAGCCTCTTTGCCCTCCGGGTTGCTGAGCAGCTCGGATGAAGCCATGAACACGGCCTCCAGAATGGGGTGAAGCTGGCCCACGGTGGCAGCGAGCACCTCGGAGGCTTGCCCCATGATCTCCACACCTTTCTCAATCTTGTCCCTGTTCTGCACGAGCCAATCTGCCACACTGTTCATCTTTGTATTATGTGTTTCACACTAACTAAGCTAATATGTTTTCCACAGCCAGAGACTTTGCTGGTGCCTGAAAGAAGAAGAAACATGACACCCTTGTAAAGCTCATTACAGTGTGATTTTATGGCATTTCAGAAAAAGATATGGTTCTCCTTTTTTGTTCTTTTTTTAGTTAGATTTGGCAATGCAAGTGTAATCAAGTGACGTGATGTCATTTTTTTTTTCCTCACAGGACATTTTCCAACAAACAACAATCCTACAATAAAGCAAACATCAGGTCATGTCCGCACATGTAGGCATCCAGTTTCATGCCACACCCTCAGCCTCAGTTAATGACAGGGACTCGTTTTTTAAGTCTTGGTGGCATTCACACATTTCTAAAATAAAAAAAAATAAAAAACTCATGAGAATACATGAGGCACAGACGGATGGCAATACTGAACAAATATCAAACATGGTTATGTGTGCTCATGAATTATGACGTGACGTATTGTGCAACGTTGCAGTACTGGCCCTTTGGGATGTCCTTTTTTTTTACGTCTCTAACAATAGCCAAGACCCAAAGCAGACACAGATGTTCACAACATGGGAAAAGGGGGCTTTACTTTGGAAATGATAGTATGATTTTCAATGTAAAATACTCCAGAGAGATGACTTAACTCATGTTTCGCTCCCTGGAGCCCATATCCAGCTCAGAAAAAGGCACACCCAGGGCTGAAGAAAACCCCCACCACTGCACTTGTTCAATAATGCAATCACACTCATTACAGCCTCAACACAATTGAAAGCAAAAAAATACACACATTTCCTGTTTCCTGAGGGTTTGGTATGAAAAAAAAGACAAATACAGGTTTAAGTGTTTAACCACAGAACATAGGTTCACCAGTGATTGCTGCAGTGATGAGATCAGTGGTGTCATTTTACAGCCTTTCCTATCACTGCACTAATTAGATTTACTTCATTCAGTCACATGCCATCAGTGTTTTTATGTAGATCATTTCTCCACGTTTCTATGTGAACCAGCTGATGAAAATAACAAAAAAAGTGCACCATTTAAAATTTGAATTTGTAATTACATAATCGACTGAAATTCCATTCTAATAAAGGAAAAAAAAATAACATTGAAAGAAAAATACTTACTGAGTAATTCTCTTGATTTGTGCTTGGAAATGTCTTCCCTTGTAAAACCAAGAAAAAAAAGTTTCTCTTCTTGTTACATTAAAAGTGAAATTTGTTTGAGAGAGGAAATAAAGGCGAGTCTCTCACAGCACTTGATCAAACACTGGACTCCCCTTTCAGTGTGATATGCTTTGCTACAGAGCTACAGAGCTTTAATAGAGACCACATACATAAGACTTCTACAAGACCACATCCCCCAAAGGGCTCATCTCCACCTCTGGCATTTCACTTGAATTCAGGCCATTTTTCAACCGCAGGGACGTGAAACTTTGAAGGAAATGGAAGAAATAGTTCCTCAAAGCTTCTAATAAAGTTCAGCTTCAATAATTGTGAACAGACAGAACTATATACTCAGTTTTTTTTCTTTCTTTCTTTCTCCATTTTATAGAAAACTAAAAATGGCAATAAAGGGGTGAGGTAGATGGTGAGGATGATGAATTAAGAATTAAAGCAAAAGAAGAACTCACCTTTCTAGTTAAATATCCAGTGGGCTATAGTCCAGTTATCCAGTAGTCCAGCTGTGCCTGTGAGCACCAGCCTCTTTGGGATGTATATATAGAGACACTCTCTCTCTCCCTCTCTCTCTCTCTCTCTCTCTCCCTCTCTCCCAGTATCTCTCTCTCTCTCTCTCTCTCTTTCTCTCGTCACTCCCCCTTTGGAACTCCTCCATCCCGTTCCAGCATTCCTCAGAAACCCACTCAGAGGGATCAGGGGCCGGCACTGACACAGATAACATCCTGTAAACACTCCCCATGCAGGGACATCATGCACCCTGGGAATATTTTTTTTTAAAAGCCTGGTTTCTGTGTAAGTGTAAGTGTGTGTATGTGTGTGTGTGTGTGTCTGTGTGTCCATGTTTGATAAAGAGAGACGGACAGACAAAGACAGAGAGCACAAGAATGAAAAGGAGACCAGTCACAGTGGGGCTCAGCAAAGTCGCCCATCAGGACAAAACCCCTCTTGTTGTGGCTTGAACGAGGTTTCCATGGACACTGCACTGGTTCCTCCAACTTGTGTGAGACTGTGCACGCTCAGAAGCAGAGTTCAGTTTGCTGTGTTTGCAGCAAGTTGCAATTCACAGCCACAAATAACAAAAACAAAGACTAGTTTTCTGAAAAACACTTCTTGAGATGTTTCATGAACGTTGACCTACTTGACTCTGAATCTGACAATTAGTGATGGAGAGCGATTGGTCGCTGGATTCAAGCATTGCAAAGAGGGATGACATTCACCCTGCAGGGGCAGCACTTCCAGAATCAGTCCGTCACAGCGGTGAACAGTGAAAGACACTCTGTGTTTCTGGGTGCACACCATGACAGCAGCTCACTCATGGCCTTTGTGCTTTATATAAAGCTGGCTGTGACACACGCAGCCTGATGTCACTGTCAGCTCTGCCCTCTAATGGATCACAGATAGGCGGGAACAGGAAGAGGAGGGAAGGATGTCTGCAGTAAATTGATGCTGGTCAGCTGGGGGCGGAGGAGGGTTAGGAGAACGTGTCCGCCACAGCCTTGTTCCTCTGTCAGATCTCACACTTGCTTCCCTTGTTGCCATCAGAAAGCGGCGACTACAGCTTTCGCAGGGACTCAACAGTATGTGGTGTGATGGGTGGCACAGATGGGTGGTGTTGTGCTGTGTGTTTGCTTTCCAGACAAAACCTTCTAAAGAGCTGAATTTCTTTTTATGTTGTCAAAGAACGTGCTCTGCAAAACGCACACCAATAGCAGCGTCCCAACATTTGGAGCTTGTAACTGAGCAAACAACGTGACCTATTACTGTAAAGAAGCTCTGGCTGCAACATCAATGGAAAATGTTGGATTTGTAGAAACGTTTTATCTTTGTTGTTTGTGGTTTCAGGCTCACCAGGTGGGACATGGGTGAAATATCTGAGATAATGATAGCCAGCTGAGGGAAGAGGGGCAGAGAGCTGTGTGTGCATGTAGGTGCTGTTTTGTCTGGCCTTACTTTACATGTCACACAAGCTGACTAAAGGGAATCTGTCATGGGTTTGTATAGTGAGGAGTGTCTGGAAAGTGGACACTAATATTTCCAGTGTAAGGATGCTATCCAATTATATCAATATCTAACTTCTATAGATTATAAACGATGAAAATAAACTTAAAAATTATAAAATGACTCGTTTCATATGTAAAGTTCATGGCTTTTTTCTCTGATGACAATAAATCCAAGAACAAAATCCACTCACAGAGGTTGTGTTCTCTTTGTTGTTTGTGTCAAGGAGCTGAAATGATGATTGACTTCCTTGTCCGAGGAAGCTATTGACCACGTTTTATCTTTTTGACCTTGGCCAGTGACTAGCGTTTCCTCCTGACCACAAGATGTCTCCTTAGCTCACAGGAAAAGCCCCCAGCGGCTGGGGTGGTGTTTAAGAGCATCAGTAGCACCAGAGAGAGATGGAGGCACATGATCATACAGAACTTCACAGAGAAGGATAAAGAGGATAAGCCTGAAATACAAGAATTCATTGTGGCTGAGCTTTAAACAGAGCTGTGTAAAATGTCAGTGATCTGCTTAAACCAGGATACAGAGCCAACTTATTGTAGCCTACTTACTTGGTTTTGTGAACTGTTTCTGTCATGTCCTTTATATCCACGCCGCACTATTACATCTGTGTATGTA